CTGGTAATCTGCGTTATAAATAGCGAGTTTGAATGTGGATGTAAAGCCTGGTATTTAGGTGACTGTACTCATCATTAAACGGCGAGTCGACTAAACACTCGAATGCTTGCGATATTGATAGCATACGCACTAATTTGCAAAGTGGATTTGAACGCTAACAAACCTGCACTAATTACGGCAGTGCAAGTCGGCATCTAGTCTTCGTTCAGCTGCTTTTGAAAGCTAAAGCTCTCTGCTGATTGGTAGCAGAGAACTGACAGCTGTTGACGGCTTGTTACGCTTTACGCGCGCCACTGATTGATCACCAAACAATGTCTTCACGGCTGAGTCTGGCCGATCTGCTTGTCAATTTCGATGCGACACTTGCAGATGTTCACTCACGCATTGATCGTGTGGCAACATGCAATCCTCTCAAATTTAGCAATAAACCGCAAATATGCCGTTAATCAATCTTTCCTCTTAATATTAAAAATCATTTGAATCACAATGTGATGAATGAATGAATTCGAATCATTCGAATGAATGAATCATTCGAATCAATGAATGAATAACAAATTCCAAAAAGCAAAATCAAAAGCTGACGCATTTCAAGAATTTTATAAATGAAGTCCACTCCATCCCACTCGGCCGCACTCACGCGCCTCCAGTCCACTTCATCCACTTAGATACAATTAGGTGTTTCCAACGTACAAAAAAGGAAGCAGTTTTTACAATGGTATACGTGTATGTTTTTATGCTCAAATATGCTATTAACAACCTTCTGTGATAAAGTTAGCCTGCGTTGGGAGAAATACTTCTATAGACTGGACGTTTGAGCAGTGCAGTATGGAAAGAGAGCTCGAGAGAAGAATCAAGTCTTTCAAGTAATGTAGCAATGGCAATCGGAGCTTATTTGAAAAAAAAAACACTGAAAAATTTGCAGAAGCAAATTTTGACTTCACAATTTATTCTGTTTCTGCAAATCCTGCATCGAGGGATTGTAGTAGGGACGCTACAGAAACCTTCATTTTCATAATATATCATTTCAACGGTATGTGCTACGTCCGCACTTCAAGAACGAAGTTCAGATAAAGTGTTTTTGGCCACAATTTTTTGTGTTCTCAGCACTAGGGCCGATGATAGTGATGGAAGACATTAAAGCCGGCCGAAGGCTCTCAAACCAGCACTCACGAGGACCGTCAAGCCAGGTCTGGGCACTTAGAGAGCTTTCATCTGGAGTGTCCTGAGCGACTGATCCGCGGTCATTTGCTTGGAATTCATAGAGCTGCTGGTCTGAAGATGTGTTTTGCAAGAGATCAAGGCCTAGCGCAATACTGAGTGCATTGCATACACTGAGTTATCTGATAATTATTTATTCAAAATATCTGCACTCAGACCAACTGCCGAGCCCACAAATTGAGACATTTGATGACCGTGTTGGCAAATACAGCCAAAGTTGTTGGATTTCAACTAGGAATCACTTAACGTAAACACATCGGGGTTCGAAGACTATTTTAGTGTCATAGTGTACATACGGTATATATAGATGATTGTATTTACGTTCTTTGTGTTTCAGTCACTTCAATATATCTTCAATACAGCATTTATTTCCTCTGTTTTCCCTTTTCAAAAGCCCAGGTGTCCAAAATACCTCATTATAGATGTGGTAGCTTCTGCCGCCGAAGGCAATTTCCCAAGGCTTTCAATCAGTATTATGATACAAATGGGCAGTTTTTCTTCCTCAACAACGAGGAAGACCTATGGAAGCCTGCCAAAATTACCTGCAAATTGTAACGCGGGACCCTTCGGCAGCAATCTTTCTTTCTCTGGAACTAAACATATCATTATATATGTTGTTTATATGTTTATATAACATTATTTTAAGATACCATTATATACGACGCGCTCGCTGACGCTTCAAAAACTGGTCAAGTATAAGGAGCTAGCATAAACGATGAGGGACTTCCTAGCAAGAAAACCCGTGGGCGAGGCGCCTGCTAGAAAAAAATACCTACCTATTAATACAAAATTTCTTTACCGAATAATGTGGTAACTGGTAAGCTAATTTTTAAATAAAAGGACAAATTTTTACGTCCGAGAGGTCAATGACTGAATGTGCTTTTCTTAACTACGGTAATGTTTTACCATATATTAATCAATATTGATAAGTATCAGATATTTTCAACGTTTCCAGATATTTTTGCTCAATTTTTCTGCATCGGGGTGAAAAAAGTCCTTCAGCTAAACATTATCGACCAGAAAATTCGTTTATATGCTTCAACTCACAACAAGGATAACGCGACCACTCAATACTAACTGAATTTTCTCTACTGATTTATTGTAAGAATCCTGTATGTTGTGATAATAAAATGCCAACAAATAATGCAGAGGAAAAATCAACAATGGTAGAGATAAAGAAGAACCATAAACACTAATAACTCCCGAAATGAAATTCTTGGAAGCTCATCAGTTTTGTAACACACGAGTAAATCCTAATCCACGCAATCTAATGGTACGGCATATAATTTTGCTCTGCTATATCATTTCATTTATTAGGTTACATAATAGTGGATAAGTAATCGTCGTTTTTCTACCAGGCTGGTACATGTTATAGAGTATAGACAATGTAGAAGACATCCCTTCAAACAAACAACTATACTACATGCAGTGTACTGCTACCCAAAGTTTGCGGTTTGCGGCCTCACTTTTCCAATTTATTGCAACAAAACTGAGCAAAACGGCGACAATAAATTCGTCCATATTTTGACCTAATGTTAGACCAGTTGGTGAGCCATATTTTCCCTCCGAAGAATGTGTTTCCTCGCGACAACGACGTAAAATAAATTCAAAATAAAAAGAGCTAGATGGAAACGTGCGAGTTTTTTTGGATTTGGGAGTAAAAATTCTCGGCTGCGTTCAAAATGGTTGGGTTAAGCAACTATGAAAATGTTAGGTGCATCTTATCTGTTGGAATTTCATAAAGTTAGCAGCTTCGTACCTACTTTTTTTAGCAATTTACGTCATGTTATACAATAATGCAGGATGCATGGTTGTAAGGCTCATGGTTGAACTATATAAGGTTGACCCACGAGAAGTTCCGCCTTCTTGTTACGCCACGTAGATCGAGAAACGTAAACAATAACCCGTCATTCCCATGACGGATTGGTTGACTGGTTTGTACGCATTTCGGTGATTGGTTTATGCCCGTTACGTCACTGAGATCAGTGACGTCATAGGCGAAAAACAAGCTCCATCCGCGAAAATGAGCTTCTCATGGGTCAACCTTATGCTAGTTCAACCATTGTAAGGCTAACCCAACAGGATTTCCGTCTTTCAGTTCAGCTTTCTTGTTACGTCACTGAGATCGAGAAACGTAAACAATCCCGTCATTCCCTTGAAGGATTGGTAGCCTGGTTTGATGGCATTTTGGCGATTGATTATGGCCGTGACGTCACTGAGGTCAGTGACGTCACAGGCGAAAAACGAACTACATTTCTCACGGGTCAATCTTATACTAGTTCAACCATGGCAGGATGTAACCATGGTTGAACTAGTATAAGGTCGACCCATGACAAGCTCATTTATGCGGATGTAGTTTGTTATTCGTTTGTGACGTCACTGGCCTCGGTGATGTCACTGGCATTAACCATTCACCGAAATGCGATCAAGCCAGTCAACCAATCCGTCATGGGAATGACGGGATTGTTCAAGTTTTTTGACCAAAGAGAAAGCTGAACTGAAAGACGGACACCCTCGTGGGTCAACTTTATATAGTTCAACTATGACTTATGCTCGAGCTTCGACATTTACGGATAGACCAACAGGCAGACCAATGTTGTTTAAATTGGTGGTCTACAATCTAACTTCGTGAGCTCACTTAACTTCGCAACCCCGAACGAGTTATACCAGGAAATTTAATACAGGCTAGTGTGGGAGCGCAGCCGTGCACCACCAATTTTGTGCACCAACAAGCCCTGAATCGAACGCCTTTGATCTCTCCGGACATCCACTAATAAGCCTTGAACCACTCGGCTTTGTCCACCTCCGGCCTGGCATAAAACCTGCCGTGCACCACCAGGCTGCGGATCGAAAATGGCATCCGAGCATCGTTAAATTACGTAATTTTACGTTCACCATATCTAAGATTAGGTTTCAGATAGCAGAGTTCTGTTCCAAAATTTATCGTCCTTCGACGAGTGGCCGTTCGACCGAGGGCTGGTTCCACCCACGGCTTTAATACGGACGGCTTAGTGTTGAAGGCTACGTTCCGTTAGGCAGGAATCATGAGTCCATTACATCCAGGGCAGTGGTGGCCTTCGACAGGCGACCCGCTAGTGTCAGTCAAGGAAATAACATTTTAGCACTCGTGCGATCTTGCGTTGAGAGCATTACCATTGGACCAAAGCTGTCACCCTCCCGGCATCGCCCTCCATTTCTGCAGGGATGATCTCAGGATTACGCAATGCGTTGATGGTTAACAGCGTGGCAGAGTAACCCACGCGAACCGACCGGCAACGATAAGTTCTACGAGTGGACAAAAACCTTGCAATAATGACAAAATTTTCTATAGAAAACTTAAGCTTCACTGAACAAGCGACAATTATCACATATACGGCGCACTACAAAGCCAGTTTGCTTTTGAATCTACGCCAGTTGATCGTTGGAAATTTACATTTAACCTACTTCCGAACTCATTGATCAAAAATGACTGCATCCAACTGACAGCATCAGACCAAGAGAAGTTACTCTAATTAGGATAATGGGGTGCAAAGTCAAGATCGATAAATATTTTCGATACCACTGCAGCAACAAATGATTATGAGAAGGGAAACTTTACCGATAGTATGACGCTAATACCATATTGTTATCGAACTTTCACGTGATGCCCCTCCCCCAAACTATAATAGAGCTTTCTAAACGATCGATTTCCAGTTGCACATCATGGCTTACAAGTATATGGATTACATTATACCACTTCGTTTCAGATGAAATTACTCCAAACGAGGGGAATAAAAAGTCAGTTCACGAAGAACATGTACTGCCATTTACTTCTTTGCAGCAGTCTTTCCAGACTTCTTCTTTGCCTCAAGGGCAGCAACTTTCTTCATTCGCTTCAGGTGCTTTTTCTTGGGCAAGACTTTGTTGACGGCCTTAAAAGCAGCGGCGGTGCCGGCAGGTGCTGGCCCGTGCCCCTTCTTGAACCTGGGATTCTTGGGGTTCTTGCCCTTGTATGTAGCTCGCTTCTTGAGCCCAGGGTTAGCCTTCTTGATCTCGCGGTGCAGCTTCTTCCTCTTCTCAGCCAAGCGGATGTTCTTGGCGTGGCGCTGTCGGCGGATCTTCTTAAGCTCGGCAACCTTGGCGGCGTATTCGGGGGTGGACTTCCAGATGGCCTTCACAGCCTTCAGCTTTTCGGCGCGAGTCAAGATCTTCTTCTCGGACTTGGCTGCCTCCTGTGCGCAAAAGGCAAATCGGTTTATATGAAGTTTCTCTCAAATCAAATAGAAACTTATATGGGAAAAATAATCCAAAGCAGTTCCTTTAAGTTACTAAATAGGCATAAATGTTGTCTGTGGCAACATTCAAGATATTGACTATCAATTTCGTACCAAAAGAGAGTTAGGTTCGTTAGATAACGCCTCCAATCATAAAAACATGCTAGACTATATAAACCTAAAGAAAAAATAACCTCAATTCAACCATCGATTAAGTTCAGACCATTTCAAATCAATTGCAGTTCAATTGAATAGAAAACATCTGGATGATCAGCAAGAGGAACAAAAAAAAAGTCAAAGGAAATAAGGAAGAAACAAAGTAAACACCGACCAGTCTGTGCTTTAGTTTCTTGGCCTCCTTGAGAGCGACAGCACGAGCCTGCACAGCACGAGCTTCCTTCTTCTGCACAGCGGCGTAGGGGTTGAGCTGCAGCAGAGCGCGGTAGTTGCGAAGCGGGTTCAGTTTAGTTTTGGCGAGAGGACGATGGAATCTGCCCAGAGACAAAAGTGTCAAGTGTGATGAAACGTGGAAACGATTATATGTGATATCTAGTCTAAAATAGGATATTAATACTTTCTGAGATTCAATTGTCATTATGAATCCAATAAAATCCACTAAAAAATAAACAAATCGCTCAACTGGACAACTTTCCGAGTGTTGCATGCACCACTGCAGGTCTTTAAAGATTATAAAATACCAACTCCATAAGAAAATACTTCAACACTTCTCTTATTTTGAATAACAACGAGTAACTTAGGTGCGTATATTTATAATAGTAAACACAAAATTATTATAGTCCATGAAGTTGCTTGCACACAAGATCCGTAAACAAAAAGAACAAGATTGAGGCAGTAATTACCTCGGGGTGCGGAGATGGCGCTGGATCTCAGGGTGTTTGAGGACCTTCATGAGGTCAGCAGTGTTCATGATGCTCTGCGGGAGGTTGAAGTCCTTCTTCACCGCCGACTTCTTGGTGTACGTTCCGAAAATGCTATCAAGCTTTTGGAAAGCTGATTCAGTCCAGATACAGAACCTGAAAAAAAATTATTCTAGTTTCACAAAACATTCTTATATTCATCGAAATCTACAATTATTTACACTACTAATACTTCTACGGTCAATGCTACGAGAACTTTACCAGGCAAATTGCTTTCTCAAGCCACCAAGCAATCACACGCATTCAGTCGCTTGAAATCTAATCCAAGCACATCTTAGCACAGAGATCCAATATCCAATGAATAGTTGCTGCTGTATCTAACCTGCCAACATGTCCACCAGGAGCGAGCTGCAGGAGGTTGAGGCGGTCCACACAGATGGTCTCAACGCCGGGGATGTTACGGAATGCAAGGCTCAGTCCCTGGTTCTTGTCGTAGATGATGAGGGGTCCACGACGCTGAACGCGGCGGCGGTTCCTCATCTTACCTTTGCCCGCACGCTGGCGCTGACTCTTGTACACTTTCAGCACATCAGACCAGGCCTTGTGCTTCTTCAGGAAAGCTACAGCTTCCTAGAACAGATTTTAAAAATGGCCTTGTGATTCATTGCTTGCGACTTGACCGGAAGTTAAGCGATCGACGATTCTGTGCAACCCGGAATCCTATAGTATTCCCAATTGTTAATTATTGTGACCTATTGAAAAAATGTATTACTACTAATATATGCATGAAGACAAATATGGTTATCAAGGTGAAGCCTAATCTTGACATTCTCATAGTAAAAAGAATATTAGGGACACAGCTTTAGTCGTAATCAAGAATGTGTTTTGCTTCCAACCTTAGTCTTGGATATTTCCTGCAGCTTGTCTTCAACCACTAGGGGGACCTCACGGGTCTTCTGGATCTGGTGCCCCTTGGACATGACGAGGGCAGGCGAGCCGGTGGCAGCAATGGCAGAGCACACTGCAAACCTCTTCTGGCCAATGTTGACCTTGCGATGCCAGCGCCTCCACACCTTAAAACATAATTGATATAATATTTAATGACACATCCCTTGTGGACCTGCACAACAACAAATATGTCAACATTAAATCCGACTCAATATAATGAGGTAAATAAATGACAATTTACTTTATATTAGGCCAGTTTCCATTTGATAAAGATTATTTATGAGCCAAAATGTAAGTAATTTCTATAAATGAAGTCAGAGATTATAAAAGATGCTCACCTTGGTGGGAGCAAACATGTGCCCACCACGACACATGTTACCGAAAGCACCCTGACCAGAGCGGTGGGTACCTCCACCTCGCACACGAGGGATACGAGCAACAGCTCGGCCAGTGCCCCATGACTCAGCACTTGTCTGGTGACCTGCTCGTGAAATGTCCATCAATAATTCAGGATAAAAATAAAATACTATGACTGAACGATCATATGGATGGTTTCCTGATTTAAGAGATAAATAACTGAAATAAAATCTAAATAGCTCCACATAACCAGATTTACTGAATGAACTAGTTCTTTCAAAGCCTTGAACTGGATCAACTTCACATTTACCTTAGTGACCAGTCAACTGCATATGCAAAGAATTATATTGAATATAAACTAAAGAAATTACTAATGAACATCAAGAAATTTCCGCAAAAGGATCTGAATTAACAGAACAGAGGAACAGCTGGAAGTAATTTTCACTAAAAAATAAACATTTTTGAGGAATCGTCAGTGTAAAATTGTGTGATTACAGACAATAAAAAAGAATGATTAAACACAAGAGGAAATGTTTAGGGATACAATTTGGCAATGATATTACATGAATAATTACCAAACAGAATGACAGAATAATTACACCTGAAATTTCTGATAAGATAACAACCACAACACTATAAAAAAAGTTGAATGTGAGAATGGAACCACATTCTAAGCAGCCCATTCTAGACATCAGAATTTATTTGCTTCTGAAGACTCCTACTCACCAGCCTTGTGGCTCACAGCATACGGCATGCGCCTGTTCTTGCGGATGAGCTCAAAAGTATGGGAGACAATATCGTCTCTCACAGGGGCAGTGAAGACCCGAGGGAGCTTCACCTCCTTCACACATTTTGTCTGGTCGCCAAAACTGTATATCGACACAACGTTGCGGTCGTTTGTTGATGCCTGAAAAATACTCAAGGTTAGACAACAGATATTTACAATACAATATCAATTTGAAAACCAAGTTAAAGTGACCCGAAAGAAGTTCAGTATTAAATTCTTATTTCTAACTTTCCCTAGTTACAATCCATGATAATAAAAGAATAAATTGAATATCAAATAGAATTAATATCATGTCGCAAGTTTAGAACAAGATTTGCCATGGCACGTGTTTTCAGTTATGTAGGAACAGCATAAACTTTTAGCACCATACCACAACCTCCATTTAACACTTTGACACTAATTGCTCATTTGCCTAACTTCCCAAAATGACAAACAAATTCAACCACTAGTAGCATTATAAAATATACACAATAAAGATTTAATTATTTTTTTACCCTATCCTTTTTGAAAGCTATAAAATATAAATTATATATATACAGCCATAAAAAATTCAAATATTTTATTAGCCAATAGTTGGAAAGTTGATGGCAAAAACAATGATGCCAGCATAAGTCAGAATTCCAAATTTGAACACTAATCAGCACAGTTACGAGGACCTCCAAAACTTGAATTGAACAGATCTACAGAGACCACTGACCCGCTAAAAACTGTATATATATCAGTATTGAACTTCAACCAGTCAATGACACAAGTTACAATTGTACTTGAATGGCTTGGGTCTATTAGAAAAATCTGTTTAATAACGAGTCAGAATCTTTTGCAAATTTTGAGGCCAGTGTAAGAAACTATACTTTCCACCACAGTTTGGGATTTGAAAAGCAAGACAAGTTTTACTGAAAAATTATAAGCATTTTCTTTTACATTTGGCAGATATTTAGGAACTGCTCCAGTTAACAGGCTATATAAATCTTGAATTGATGAGCCACCATTTCTAGAATTCCTCCCTGATTGCTGGCAAGCATGTTTCTGAGGAAGTCTATCAACAGATTTATCCCTAATTGCCTTGCGTTTGCAGGAAAATGCCTTTCATTTCTAATAACCTCCTTAGAAAAATACCCACAAATCTCGCAGTCTTGTCTGTCAAGATACTCGCCACGTAAGATCTATTCTTGTATCAATAATGTTTGAGTGGGTTTGATAAAAAATAATTAGGAAGGTCATCAAGAAAACTAAGTGTTCATTTTTTCATTGCCAACACATAACACTTTTTTCAGTGTTAGAAATGAAGTGTGCTCATGTCCAACGTTCAAAATCAGTGTTCCACAAGCTACAGAGGTGGGAGGTACACAAGCTTTCTGCAACAACTCACAAGTCATTTCATGTAGTTGTGCAGTGGCAGGCAATGAACTCGAAGACAATGAGATAAAAAAAACTAATACAACAAATAAACTTTGATAAAGAAGACAGCAATGGCCCTCAAGACCAAAAATTTGGTTGTTTGATTTTGATTAGGAAACCATCTATATTAATGGCTGGTAAAATAATCAATGCGTGTTAGATGGAAGGCATCTAATAAATGCCTACACAGAATTTAGGGCAGAAATCATTGACCACAAGGTTGTAGCATGGCTGCCCATGGCACAATGACCCAAAGCATTTAGGGTTAAATAGCTATGGAACTTCTCAGTAGATTTTTTTAAAAATATATCGACACTTGCATGAAAACAAATGCCTATGACTTGAACTATGAAAATTTGTCTAACAATTATAATCTTGATGATTTTTGTGATGACTACAATTGCTTCATCTTGTACTTTCATTTCATTTTTTGTACTGTTTTTAAACAGGGTTGCCAGACGATCATTTTTTCCAGACAAATTCTGTGATTTAGTTTTTCTCAATTGTGTTGGCCAGCTAAAATTTATGATAGGGGTACTTCCTAATTAAATTTTGAATTCTGCAAAAAAAAATAAATGGAATTTTTATAGTGGAACCCACAAATAAACTAGTATATATTGAGTCATCAGCCTTTTTTGGTCTTTTTTGTTCTCAGATTTGGCTGATTTTAGGCAACCTGAATTCTGTACCACTACATCCTGGAGAAATACATTTCGTGGTATGCATATGTACCACTTCGGAATCAAACTGTCAACATGTTAATACAGCAATAATATAAATTAGTACTATCTCTTGATGAATTCCCACAGCAGATTTCACCTATAATAGCCAGTTCTGGAATAACACACCCAATGTAAGCATGATACATGAAAAAACAGTTCATTATTGATTCAATGATCCATGATAGGTTCTTGTCTACTTATTCTGACTCAATTTTTCAGACACAAAGGTTGACCAAAGTCTCGTTTGCAAGTTGCAACTATGTGCAAGGAATATTATATATACTGAACTTGATAAATAATATTGATGGAAATTTAGGTGTGCTAAATTTAGACAGCTGGTCAATGATCAAATTGGTCATGACTAATTTTTGTGGTCCACTATCACATGGAAATTCTAAAGCTGTGACAAATATGGCTTGGAAGTTTCTGTTTCAATTGAATATTGTTTGGATAGGGTAAACGCGGTATATTCCGACATCGTGGGTAATTCCAACACCTCTCTAGTTATTCCTTTATATTAAGCTTTGTTTTAGTTCCATGCGTTCGTTGATGGTTGAAATAGCGACGTCATACATTTGCGCGTCAAACTACTGCCAAAACACTAGGTCTGGGCCATCTAGCAGGAAAATGTTGAGATCCAGAGAGAGACGGTGCATGCCACCCAATGAGATCATCAAAAAATGTGTCAAAGTTGACAGTTGACCTTGCTCTACCAAATAGTGATAAACTGTTTGAGTAGAAAGAATGTTATGGTTTGAGACTTTTAAATACGTCTGTGAATATATTAGGAATCCTTTAAGTATACTTGTATTTGCTGATTTCAAGTGGTAAATAAATTTATAGATGATTAAGTTGAGAAATGGATTTAGACAAATAAAAACTAATTCCGACACAACTTGAATTGGACACACACAGCTCGTTCAAAGCTGTGTGCAAAAAATAAGATTTTCCTAATTAAAAGCTTAATAACTGTTAATTAAAAGCCAAATTAAGTAGTGCTCAATATTCAATAGTGTTCTAATTCGAAGCCATGTCGTATTCCAATACAGCTCACACAGCGATCAGAATTTGCACACGTGGATATCGGAATAACATATTAGTACAATTTGAAGCGCGGTCAGAATTTGTCTCACCACGTACCAAATATAGTCACACACAGTGTTGCAATATAGGAATTTGGTAGGTTTGCATTCTAAAGGCTTTTAAATAAATATGGCAACATTTTGTGACATTTCATCTTTGCTGATGCGTATTGCGGTGTTTTGAGAGTCACGTAAAGCAAACGGAACTCGAGTAACGCATACAGTTATTTTTTCAAAGTTTTTCATTTCTTGATGCGTCGTTAATGTGTCGGAATATACCGCGTTTACCCTATAAGCCCTATGGGTTTTCCAGCACATAACATTTCAAGAGTCCTAACTCCTAAGTGACATTTATTTGATGTCACAAATTGATTTGATCATTTTTGCTGTTAAATTTCACTGTAAAATTTGTTACAATTGTAGTCCTGAGCCATTTGGCCAATCTTGAACAGTAAGCAACATAGTGACAAAGCAGAGTTTTTTTAGACTCTTCCGCAAGTTCATTTTTGAGTCCTGTAAGTAGACCAGTAAAGTAGGGTAAACGCGGTATATTCCGACATTGTAGGTAATTCCGTCACTTCTCTAGTTTTTCCTTTATATCAAGCTTTGTTTTAGTTCCATGCGTTCATTGATGGTTGAAATGGTGACGTCATACATTTGCATGTCGAAATACTGCAAAAACACTAGGTCTTGACCATCTAGCGGGAAAATATTGAGATCCAAAGAGAGACAATGCATGCCACCTGGTGAGATCATCGAAAAATGTGTCAAATTTGACAGTTGACCTTGCTCTACCAAATAGTGAATAACTGTTTTTATAGGAAGAATATTATGGTTTGAGACTTTTAAATACGTCTGTGAGACTGTGAATATATTAGGAATCCTTTAAGTAAACTTGTATTTGCTGATTTCAAGTCGTAAATAAATTAATAGATGATTAAGTTGAGTGATGGATTTAGACCCATCACAACTAATTCCGACACAACTTGAATTGGACACACACAGATCGTTCCAAGCTTTGTACAAAAAAAAATCAAAATTTGCTTAATTAAAAGCCTAATAGCTGTTAATTAAAACGTAATTAAGTAGTGTTCAATATTCGTTAGTATTCTAATTCAAAGCCGTGTTGTATCCCAATACAGCTCACACAGCGAACGGAATTCAAATACGTTGATGTCAGCATTACGTATCGGTTAAATTTGAAGCGCTGAGGCCCCATAGGCATAGTGACAAACCAGAGATTTTCTAGAATCAGTTCATTTTTAATTTCCTCATTTACTCAAGACTTAGACCAATTCCTTATGTATGATAATGCTGGTATCTATGATACTTTACTGGCCTACTTTAGACTAGCTACTTATAGGAATCAAAAATGAACTTGAGGGAGATTCTAAAAAAGTCTCTGCTTTGCCACTATGGCGCTGACGCAATACGACTCACCACGTGTCGAATATTGCCACACAGTGACGGAATATAGGGATTTGGTAGGTTTCCATTCTAAAGGCTTTTTAATAAATATGGCAACATTTTGTGACGTTTCATCATTGCTGACGCGTAGTGAAGTGTTTTGAGAGTTACGTGAAGGCAACAGAACTTACATAACGCATACGTTTTTTTTATAGTTTTTCATTTCTCGATGCGTCCTTAATGTGTCGGAATATACCGCGTTTACCCTATCATGGATACCAACATTATCATACTTAAGAAAATGGTTTAAATCTTGAGTTATTGAGGAAATTAAAAATGAACTGATTCCAAAGGAGCTCTGGTTCAGGATGGAATTCTAATTTCGAAGGTTCATATATTATTTCGATCCACCAAGACCACTTTTTTGATCCAACATCGTTATTTGAGGCAAAAAATGAACTTCTTAAAAGCTTATAACATGTACGCTAACTTGCTCAGTTTCTATAAAGTACCTAATCACTTGGAAGTTGCAAGTCTGCACCTTTCACTCAACAATTAAAATTAGACTTATAAAAAGTATTAGTTGAAAATTTGTCTCTTAAGTTGACCGCAATGAACTAAACTTCATTAAGTAATCATTAGGCAGAGTTTTTCATCATGCACACTAAACACGCAATTCAGAGTTCAGACGAGCCGAACTTCATATCACGTGAGCTAACGTGCTACTGAATTGAATTGCTTCTTTCCCGCTAACGGTGATCTAGCGGGATGATCAATCGTATACATAATTCGTATACAGTTGTATACGAATTACGAATTAACTAATCGTTTGTATACTTAATGCAAGAGAATGAATAATTATGTTGTTTCTGATCAAACAAATGAAAACTTTTTCTGTTTCTGATCAAACAAACGAAAACTTCTGATCAAACGAACGAAAACTTCTGATTAAACGAACGAAAACTTCTGATCAAACGAATGAAAACTTCTGATCAAACGAATGAAAACTTCTGATCAAACGAATGAAAACTTCTGATCAAACGAATGAAAACTTCTGATCAAACGAATGAAAACGACTTAGAATTCTAATACGGATCGTTAATTTTAACATCGTATTTCCAAAAATCAATTAGCCTATTGCATTTATTTCAATTGAAAAACATCCTTTTACATAAAAAACAACGAATTTTTTCTTACAGCTCCTCCGGAATGAGGAATGAATGCTCCTCATATTGACAAATGACGATCTTACTCTTATGGCTAAAAATTTTAAATTGAATGATTTTGTCATTTCAAAGACTCCATTGATTACAGAAATTTATTTTTTGGAAGTGTATTCAAGAAAAGTTTCTGAAATAGTAGAAACATTTCCATTATCATTCTGAAATAGAAGCGTCATTTCCGTTCTTATATATAAACAGGATTAATAAAATACCTATCAAATCCATCCAATGTCATTCAATTTGTGATGTATGAACAACAGTTTTACTTTGATTCCTATGATGCTCATTTTTACCGGTTGAAGCTGTAGAATTAAATTAAATTAAAAAATTAAATAAAATAAAATTTTACTAAATCAAAATGTATTATTTAATACACTAGATGGTACAGCAATCCCTTGATTAACGCGGTTAATTAATCCCCAAGTTTTGCCATGTTAAGCGAAACGGCGCTAATCAAACTTAAGAATATATGGGAATAATTATAATGAATCCTCAAAAATAGCAAAGTTACATAATAATTTTTTTCCACTAAAATTCATCATATTTTTTTCTAAATAATAAGGGAAATAAATAAAAGAAATGCGAATGAATTAACATTCATTTTTTACTGAAAAATGAATCTAATTTCAATTGCACAGTAGTATTAGATTTCTTTCTCTCCTTAGATTTAGATTTCTTCCCTTTTTGTCCATAATTTTGACGGTAATTCATCAAGGAAAATTATGTAGTTTGATATAAATGAGCAGTAGATATGGCAGCAATCTTGACCAGTTGAAGGCTAACAAGTAACTAGAGCACCGGCATGGCACACTTACAGGCGAATGTTGCCGAACTCGACCATTCGAGCTATGAACGAGACAAGGTGCGGTTAAACCAACTCTGTAGTCGGCACAAGTGCCTACGGAACGGGACCTTATTTAAAGAATTATTGGCTGAAATTCATAAAGTAACAATATTTGGCTAATTTTTCCCAAAAGTTGTAACAAAAGTAACAACATAAGATCTAATAAGCAAAAAGTAACACTTTTGTTATGAACGTAACACCTCTGGCTAGAGGCGGGAAAATGATGCGTTGTGAAAAAAAGTTGCGCTAGTCAAAACTGGCACCGCGTAGATCAGTGTGGAATTCTGTATAGGTAATATATTCTCATGTCAATATAAGAAAACGTATCGAAATACCAACCCTACCACCGCTGACCGCATTACACCACCTTCCACTGCAATGAAAATTTATAAACTGAGCTCATTGGGACCTACCGTGCTTCCGAAATCGCGTGTGGTTTGAAATCCAATCCCGTGTTGCCAACGACGAATCAAGTTAACTAGTCGTTTATCTGTAGGCTAGCGGACACATTTTTGCAATGAATACGTTCTAAAATAAAAATAAAACACATCCAGAATCGTAAAAAGTTCTCACGATTGGACAATACTAACAAAGTTTTCGATATCACACAAAAGTATGAGATAAATGTCCACTTTTCCAAGGCGTACATTCACATGGTGTTTCCACGATCATATCTGACATGGCGGCGTCACAGGCATAGCTTTTGGTCATGTCAAGTTCGATTTCACAATAATTAGACTTGATCCACATTCCATACTGACATTTAAATGATGGAAATTTGGTTTAAATTATAAATACCAATTGATACGCTGTCTCTTATACACATCTAGATGTGTATAAGAGACAGCTACTGCATTATATAAAGTAGCTGCTCACATCCGCATCGTAGGACGGTAGGAGACGGAACTGTTAGCGTGCAATGTGGAGTTGAAGGAGGCGCGATGTATGCAGTAATTCAGTACACTAAAACAATTTAGGTGTTTATTTTCTACGCTCAAGGATAAAGGCAACGTAATGAGTAATATTTTTTTAGACGAAATTGAGATGTTAATTGTTTAAATGATGAATTGTGAAAACATAGCAATTCCGCAAGAATGTTCAAGATCTCTTACAAAATCCGTGCAATGGCGGTTCGGTGTAATTCCGTGAGAATTTTGAAAAGCAGTACTCCTGATCATTGCCTTAAATTTCCAATCGGGGTTGGTAGCAAGCATTGAAAACATCTGCCTTTAGGGCCGCAACTAGAGAGGTTTCCCGCCATTTCTGAAACCGCGAGATTTCCGTCAGATGAATTACCTCCTATCCAAATGTTAACAAAAGTGCGATATCGAGCCGCGAGATTCCAAATGTATTGAAAATTTGTCATGTTGAAGCCGCGAGATTTCAGAAACAAATAGAAAAATTCCAATCCTGACTTGGTAGTAGTTCTCAGGCAAACTGAGGCAATGACTGATCAAAATTGCATTCTACCTAGCCTATATAGGAAGGTAAATTCATAGTGGCAAACCAGAGCTTTTTTAGAATCAGTACCTAGGTAATTAAAGTATTAAACCTTAACCCTTCTGCAGTGGTTGCATGGATTGCAGATGCCAATTCTGGAACATGAGCAGAATTTTCTCAAAGTTGAGGGTACCTAGAAACAAGTACCTAGGCTAACAACTGATTCAGCCTTGTATAAGGTTGGAGATTGGTTGCATATTAGGCTAGGCCTAGGTACCTTAATAGGTAAAATTGCATATTAAATAGGTACCTTCGTACCTAGGTATGTCATTTTTCTCATTACTGAAGAAATTAAGAAGATCCAAAAGAACACGTGAAATTGCCCAGTTTCATTGGCATTTTCATTCAATTCACAGGTGGATCCTCCTGCCAAAAATTCCAGTTAGGATACAGAAACTGTAGATGCAAAATCATCTAAGGCTAGCCCTATCCTACAGGTACAACTACAAGATACTATGGAACTTTCTAAGTTTAATTTAATACCTCGGTATATTATTTATTGATTTATGAAAAGGTGAAGGATGAAAAAATACTATTAAATATCAAGATTACCCCTAATAAATCAAAGCATAAACTTATTAGGTTTCAATGCAAGGTAGCTATGGTCGATGCACCAGCGATTCGTAGCTACAACAGTTCACAAGATTTCAGGCGGCTTGTCCCCTCAACATTCACTATAAACACAAATACTCATCGATAGATAATTCACAATTCAATAAAATATTCACCATTTTGACAATTTCTATAATAATATTTCTAAAACATAAAATTTCAAGAGGTGCACACTCACCATTTTCCCTAACCTACACTTCACATCAACACGAAGTAGAAAACTTTCGGCACCGAATGTTGCCAGATGAATACTCAGGAATAAATTTTCACACGTTGGTGTGATGAATACTGAAACGACCGTAGCTTTTATCACATAAAGAAAATGGATACAATTTTTCCTCATTTATAATTTTTAGGAATTGAACATTTTCAGCAATTGATTCACAAGTTAGATATGAGGAATATCTCTAATTTGACTTCTGTAGATGTACGTTAGTTACAGGGATGCATTGGATATGAGGTGTTTATTTCTTTTTTGTTGATAATTTATTGCGAACTAAAAATGATTTATGGAGATGAGAAATATGTTCGTTCATTTCAGTCTCCAAGCCAATAAAGTTAAAAATTTTACACTAAAAGAACGGATGCGTGCCATTATCCATTGTTATTTTCCAATTGTGTCGCACTTTCAAAAGATATGGATGTAAATTTGAATTTTTTATAATAAAAAATGTAGTATTTTTGACAAATTGGGTTGAGCGCCTGAACTGGAGTCACAAACTTCAATTTGAAAGCATAGTCGGAGCAAAGAAAAACAGTAATAAAATCTAAACTCCTTTATTGCGAGGGTTTTATACCTACCACCGCTATTTTCTTCACTGGACAGCCAGGAATGCTGATTTAGGCGAGAAAATATAACTAGAAACGTTGCAATGCGTAAGGAGTCAATTTGGACATGATAAAAAGATTACCGATAGTGACAAAAGAGGATCACCTTTATGATGCCGCATTACATTATCTTCAATACTGCTTAATCTGCAAAAATTCATTTGAGTGGTAATTTAATTGATAGAAGATTGCCGCTTAGACCAAAGAATAACTATTATGTCAAATATGCACTCATTCCATTCGCGGGGTAATTCAACAAACTGGGAGGAGAGACGGGATTGCATGATAATTATGGTGGAATAAAAAATAAACATAATGAACGAATTTTAATTCAAACAAATAAAACAAATACAATGAATGCTGTGCGTTTTGAAAGGAAAAGGCAACAACGGTGGAGAACCTAAATATATAATTTTTTAACCCACTGCATTGCCATCACATATTATTAAACTAAGAATCCTTGAAGATAATTTAAAGCAAATCAATGGCTTGTCTAGTTAGGAACAATGATGAGCCATAATAGCAAACAATATCACTACATACGTCAAAGGATAATTTCTACAAAACAAATCAAATCACACTTGACTGAAAGCAAAGACTTCAATTAAAGATGTCATTATTACAAACGGTCAGCAGTGACTGACTACCTCCTCTCTGACCGAAGTCTTATGTCACTAAGTATATTAGTGGCGAGTTCATCACATATATTGAAAATGTCTTCTGATCGTCGGTTCGTGCCATAGTGACGAAATTTAGTAATTTTATCGAACATTTTTGATTAATATTGGTTTCAGCAATTACTTCAGGATAAGTATATAGGGTGCCAGAGCATGTAAATAAATGCAATATTAAATAGAATCGTGACGCAGGAAAAACAATGGGGAGAGTTCAATCGTTTGCACTACGGTAAAGAGTGGATAAGCATCTTAAGTATAGATTGCGATCAGGTTTTTCCCCACACGAGACACTTCTTCACCAAAGAAACACATATGAACAAAAATGTAATTAAAACCATATGAATCACTGAATGACTGAAAAATCAATAATCACACAAAAACCAACAGAAGTAAAAAATCAACTCCACTGGAAACGCAGGAAAAATGTTTCAAAAAATGTAAAGAACTAATGAGACCTGAGCACAGTTCAATTCCTACAGATAAATCTCTTTTGTTAGTGAAATCATACTTTTGAAAACTTTGCACTGTAACCTCTCATACAATATTAAGTGACACAGGTTTGGGAACTAGCACAGGTTTAAGCCAAGTGGGAGAGCGCAATATCAATGCTGACAGTAGAGCTTAGACGCCACACCTACCCTGGTCTCTATGGCTATCAATAATCAATATAAATCACTACCTAATAGAGAACACAAATATAAAATGCAGGAAGATATGCCTACCATCACAAGATGAATTAATTATCTTAATGTATTGATAAAGAAGGATTAATGCCTAAGATAACTAAAGCAAAAGACGACTAGACGTGCAACAGGCGCTGTGACTTCAGAATATATCAGATTTCAATATTTTTCTTTATCCCCTTCAAACTGAATGATGTTACTTAGAAGTCCTTTATATCAACCATACTGTCCATAGTTACCTCTTGAGAGTGGCGATCCCAACATTTTCAAATTATAGCATTATAAAGCCAGTGACGTACGGCACTTTACAACAAAAACATGGATACAGAATACAAAAATAAATTTAATACGGGCACTAAAATAAAAGAAAAGTCGCGTCCAAAGAGTAAATATTTTTCAATAAAAACATCAGGATCTCATGCGCGGAAAAAAAAGCAATTACCAACAACTCTGGTACACAAGATGACGTGTTGCGATGCAACTAATACATGTGTTGACTACGACTCTTAACATAGAGGAAAATAAAGTTATCACAAAATAAGTTGATAAAATGTATAAGATACTCCCATGGTGACAAAATGCGGAAAATAAGCAGTATCGCCAACGCCACTACACACTGAACCTAGCAAGCAGCCTAGCTACCTTTCCTGAAAGTCAAGATTGCATTCTAGGCCAGCCAGCCTCAACACGCTATTGATAATGCATACAGAATAATCGACACACTACATGTGACGGATCATTTGGTGCGAAAAGCATAGCTATTTCTTAAGACCTATGTACATTTGCGACAAGATTGGTCTAAAGTATGGCTATTACCTAAACAGTAGCACTTACATCAGTAGCACCCATTCAAACTACGCGTTCTATCGAGAAATAATGCACTGATGCACCCTTATGCAAGACCAATACTTAGTCATGGATATTTTTATAGTCTCTAATATATTACAAGTAGACAGTGTAAGTAAATAAGATAGCAGCATTCCATGGGGAACCTCCCGAGGTCAAAATGAATATCAAAGTCGTCACTGTAAGATCACATCAAACTTACGCACAGAATTATCGAGAATGAAAATATGGTCTCTTACAAACAATAGCCATGCCCATCAGGCAGGAGTAGGTCAGCATCAGACAGGCACGCACTTGCATGTAATTCCTCGTCATTTGTGATGCTTCTTTGTTAACAAACAAACAAAATCAACGTAAACGCCTATAAATACCAGCGCACGAACATTTATTTCGTCTGACCCAACACATTACAGTGTAAACGTTCAAAATTTTTGCCTACATGGTACTTCAGAAATTAGGTATCAGAAAACTAACATTGCCGAGTTTTCCTGCTAGGTTATTCTCATTAGCGGCAAGCAATCTGTTAACACGTGCCGACACTCACCTCATCACGAATCAAAGAAAAAATTTCTTAACCTCAGACCGCAACAAAATACGCTACTTAAATGTTATGATAAATATCCTAATAATAGTTGACTTGAAAGAAAAGGGTTACTGTTAAGTATTTGTTACAGACTTTGTTTGCATGTTTTCAAACGATCAATTCAGGGAATGATTGAAATTCATGGTCTTAATTCAACCCGTCAGTTCTCGATAATTTCTAGGACTGAATATCGGTACATTTGAAATCAATACAAACATGAACTTAATAGGGTCCTTGTTAATACTATAATACTAACTTTTCAGACAATTATTGGAATATAAAATTTATTTAATGCTGGGATGCATTAACTCGTCATTAAAGTATCATAACATCTAAACAAGAGTTCCGTTACTATGACAGAAGCTACCGCGAGACAACCTAATATTGATATTCCTGTAATATATTTAGTAGCTGCCTCCACCCACGGGTGCTTTTAAACACATTAATCCTAAAAAAATCATTTATCCCCAACACAATGGAATCGATATGGAATCAAACTAAGAAATCTGATATAATTTAACATTAATAAATACAATAAATAGGAAAAGCAGTGTATTTACATCAATATTTGCTTTAAAAATGCAGACAAATTTTATAATAAATCCTTGTAACAATCCAATGTGCAAACGAAGGGGTAAAATTCAACCTTCAGAAACGATCAGTTGATTCGTCTCTCCAATTCCACAACATCGTCCAACATTAATAAGATTTTCATGAACAACAGCGTGTCATTCTGTGACAGAAGAAGAACTGGGACGACAGATTTCATACAAGTTCAAACGCGAGTGATTTTTTACGCACAAATAAAATCTGGTTTAAGTTTAAAATATATTTTCAGAATAAAACTCTGAATTTCATGCCATGATGAATCCATGTCCGATGTGAGCAAATTGAATCAAATGCAGAAATAGAGTCGACAAAAATGGTTAAAGAATGCACAACAGAAGCTAACTTTGGGAATATTTCAAGATTAAGTTATAAGCCAAGAACCAACGCTTCTAGTATAGTATATGTCCAACCCTAGTATATCTACACAGCCTGACATTGCTACTAATGAACTATAGTCTTGCGTGGTCATGGTAGCTCTGGTGTTAGTTCATGGAACATGTCTACGGTTTTTTTTAAAGATAGATATTATATCAATGCATCCGTGTCGCTTTTAGATGAGAACATTTGATGATTATCAAGTAGAGTTGATACTCGTGCCTATAAGCTGCTGGTACATCCAAACTAATTAATACTATCGTAAGCTGTTATTACCTACAGTAATAAATTACTGAATTACCATTCTTCAACCATATCACTCAACACCGGCTACGCCGAACAACCTGCCGAGCTCGTGGAAGGCAAAAACTGTCTTCAATACAGGCTTCACACATTCTATTTCTCTTGCAAGACAACACCGAAAGCAGTACCTATTATTACTTCTAATATTTGTGAAGCGGGAAGGATACGTTACTATTATTATTAGCTAGTATTTGAAGCATGGCAGTGAGACGAGAGTACACAGTTATGTGCGCTCTTAAATTTTCAAAAGAATGCCCAAAAAATTCTGATAAGTGCAATGTAAAGAAAACCCTAAAGATTATAAAATATGCCCTCTAATTGCAAGCACGACTACTACTCCTATATAAGTAAAAATAAATATAACAATTTATACGAATGAAATAAACCGGTCTAAATCCTGTCATGCTTTTGATATGAGAACGACAAGTTGCATAGAAGTGAGCTTAAAATAACTCTAGTTACGCAAAGAGATGTAGAGACACTGAAGAGAACAAATAATGCATGTTTTAGATAATTTTAACAGACAGACAGGAAGGACAGATGAGATGTCATGATTATCACGTTTACCGGTACTGACTGCTGGGCACATGAGAGAGAAGATTCAGCTCTACTGGACGATTTCTTCAAATTGCACAATTTGCAACGGAGTTTGTGGCTAAAATTGGAAATAATTACTGCACAGTTCATTATAATAATGATTCTACTGGCGCTGGCCATAATAATTACTTTTCCACTGGCGCTGGTCATGATAAGAACGCTTCCACTGGCACTGAATATGTATTAATAAACACTCTCCACTGGTTCTAGGTGAACAAATTGATGATGTAACATTTGTTATAGTTTGCTCTTGGAACCGGACATGACAAGTTACCCGTTTACTGGTACTAGACATGACCATCACCCGCTCACTGGTACTGGACATGACCATCACCCGCTCACTGGTACTGGACATGACCAACACCCGCTCACTGGTACTGGACATGACCATCACACGTTCACTGGTACTGGACATGACCATCACACGTTCACTGGTACTGTTCATGATTATTGTGCGCCTGAGTGGTCGGTGGTGGTCATAAGTCAGGGAAGCGGTACTGGTCCTCGATGTAGTGAGGTGGTATAGTGAACAGCGAGTCTGGCAGGTCAGGACGGAACTCAAATTCTTGAAATGTAATTTTTGCAGACACTGTCGGCAGGATCGGGATGTCTGAAAATAAATATGGCTTCAAATACAGTGAATATTATTTTAGTAAAGGTCTACTAGACTATCCAGGATTAATTATGTTGTTTTGAAAACGTTTAACTTACTCTTACAAACATGAAATAGAATGGAATAGATGCCGAAAGTAGTACCTAACATTAAGAAGCTAATGTCAGGGAACCACAATTCAAGACCGATGATCGTTAAAGAATTGTAGTAAGAAAGTGCATACATCGAATAAACTCGTGAATAATCGCAGTTTCCTTCTGGTATATAATGTTTCAATGGAGCAATCAAGATTAGTAATCCATTCAACATAATATGTGATCAATTTATACGGCATTTTCCCTATTCTTTTCACAAAAACGCCTCATTCAGCAAGAATTTATATAAACTTGAACTATTTTCTCAGCCTTTCTACAGAATGCAAAAATTTACACTTCTGTTAACATAAATTTTCAGAGCTATCTCGACACACATAATACAATTAAATAAATTTTGCTGACACTAACTGACACATGTAACCATGACAAAGAAAGGCAAACACCGACCAATTTTTACAGGAAACCCCGGCGGAAGTTTCATTTGGACGAAATCCCTGAGCTTGGCGAAGTGCTTGAAGGGAGCAATGATCTCTAGAACGCTCAGCAGCATCGAGACCGTCAGAGGGAACTCTTCACTCTGGCAACCAAGAAGAAAATTTCATGGTAAATAACTGCAATTTCTAGCAATAGGAATAATAACATACATAATCTAAAGCTTATATAATCTGTTAAAAATGTTTAGTGCGTCTTGATCTCAAGAAATAATGCGTAGTAGCCTATATTGATACCTATACTATGTAGAGTGGGGCTGTGCCAGTGTTGTCTGTCGATCACTTATACAACATTACTAGTTACTGCGAGATTAAATAATTTAGCATATATGGAAAAAAAATTGTAGTTAACAGTAAAATTTAGCCTAATTACAAAACAGGAAAGCCATGTGCTCCTAATTTACTAAATAAAAATATGATATTTGAATAAACAAGCGAACACACAACAGAAGCTTGAAAGTTCACACACGTCATCTTGATATTATTTAACAGAACTACTTAATAGCAAGAAATAATGAACATTACCAGGCCATCTCAGGCTTAGAACATCATAAAATATTGTCAATCGAGTGTTGCAATCAGAACTAAGACGGGACGAGAACGTTATAGTTTCAAACAAAAGACTTGATTGCTCCTCCGTTTCAAGTCCAATGACTAGACCAGTTAAGTGTCATGAACATAAGCATTATCATGCACATGATAAGGAACTAAGTCTTGAAGTAGTTCAGGTAATTAGATTGAACTAACAAGTCCCTTTGTGTAAAAAGTACCATGGCGACCGTAGCCCTGAATGTCTTGGTGTTGTGTTTCATGACGCGGGGGCGCGCCAGCAGCGGAGGGGCGCCTGAGGGGGCTGATATGTACTCGTGCCACGACACGGCAGGAGGCGCTGGCGGGGGCAAGGACGAACGTCGTGGCAGCTGCTCCGGCCCTGCAAGGTATGCAATAATTATAAATAAGCAATTGTTATGATAGCATAACCAGAATAATATTTACTTATTAGTAGCTGCTATAGAATTGTGAGCAAAACATTATTTATTTGCTACTAAATGCTGAAACTCACACCAAGTGCGTAGACATAGGAACTAATAATTATTCATGCGTTTACAACACGTAAGAAATGATTCTTGCCATAGAGATTTTCGTCCATTTTAGCCCAGCCAGGGTATGCAAATACAAAACTCACGTCATTTTACATCACTTCTCTTTACCTTCACTTCTTGTTTGTCTGCTACAAATCTTATAATCGATATTTAACACACTTCCACCTGACCAATCGATCTGAAATTTTGCACACTTGCTTTAAGTCGGAGACAATGCATGAATCAAGTGACAGAATTGAAAAAATTAAAAAAAAATTTTCACTATTAAACAAATAATTTTAAAAATAATTTTGTTTGCTACAAATCTGATACTCAATATTTAACAAACTTCTACCTGTCCAATCGAGCTGAATATTGGCCCAATTGCGTAAAGTTGGAGACAATGCATGAATCAATTGACAGAATAAATAATATTGAACATTTCAATTTGTTTAATATTAAATAAATTATTTTTTTAATATACCGGTATGAAAATAAAATTAGAAATTCACAGCACATGTGTAACATTTGAGACACTGGATTCTTTAAAAGTGTTGTCTTTAAAAAGTAATTTTTAAACGCATATTATTTATCAAAGCACAGATCACAAACATCATAACATGTTGGTCTTAACTCTTAATACAATGTTACATAACATACAGTTAACAAATTTTACCAAAGATAATGGTGTTATAGTTGGATACCTATTTGCATAAGCTGCCACAATACTATAAATAATGTGTAAAACTTTAAAATATCGCAGAATAATTACAATGAAATAGAATCAGTTATGTATGAATGAAATTTCTTTGGAAAAAAAGCTGTGGATGATAATCGTATTGCAGGATCTGGTACAAAATTGATAAAAAAACACATGCACGAATACTGTTAGAAAAAAATATAACTCAGTACTCACTGCAGTGAGTGACAGAGAGCGCATTTTCTCAGATTCGACTAGAATGTGAAGTCATGGACAGACGGACGGACGGACGGACATGACGAGCACAGTAGGGCATTTTTTCTATAAATGAGAAAATGCGCTAAAAAGCACTGAAAGGAAGCTAACCTGATGCAGAAGGCGAGGTGCTGCCTTTTGTGAGGTTCTCAACGAGCTGCTTGTTCTTGATGAGGTCCTCTGCAGTGAGATGCTCCCTACGCTTGTGCGAGTCTATACATAAGCCGTTGAGGCAGTAGAAATCTGCACTGTACTTCCCAACTACTTCCTGTAAAGCAATGTCTTGATAGCAAAAAATAATCTGAATCTTAATAGGGAATTATTTCCGGTTTTGAACATTGGGAAGTCTAGTGTGGTGATGGAGGTGTATTGTGGTGATGGTGGTGTTGTTGCATAGATTAAGCTAACCTAAGCTAAAAGACAAGGTGTTTTGTCCTAAAATTCTTAGGTTAAATGACTGGGTGCATTTGATGGGAAAAAGCCAATGCATTCCTCAAGAAGCTCTTAAACAAATAATTTATTCATGAGCACTAATATTTAGAACAATCCCTCATTATTTTGAGATCTGTGAACTCAACACCCATTAATAGTTTATATTTACTTCACATTTAATTGGAACAAGAGGCACTAAATCCAAGAAAATTAATCGAAATTTCATACTTGAAAAGATGCAATGCAGACAATTGATAAAAATGTGTACCTACAGTACTTATTACAATACTCATATCCAGCAGCTCCAGGAACAAACATGTTGCTTCAATAATCTTGAACTACTTCAATTATTGAAATATTTTTAATTTACTCATAATGAACCAATGAAAAACTTGCATTGAAATTGGAATTTAGCAGAATTACCTATTTTTAATGTTCATACCCAGTCATATATAAAACGTCTATGATGAATAATGCCAAAATAATGTGAGGACAATTTTAATAATAATAATAATGCTGAAGAAATTGTCTCTTCTTAGTAATTCAATGAAAAAGCCAAGCAAAAGAAGTATATACAACTCACTTTCTTGTCAGCTCGGAATATCCAGCCAGACTGGGCTCGTGCAAACGTGATTTCCTTCATGCTCATCTGAGCAGAGACGATATCTGAACTCATCATGATGTTCACCTCGTCCTCCAGCTCGGCATCACACTCCTGCTTTAGAAATTCATGTATTTATCAACTCAAACATTGATAAATACATGAATTTTTCTTCACTTCATGCATGAATTTTATCTTCACATCTTCAAGTACAAGAATTTCATCTTCATTTTAGTGCTATCAATTACCCTTTGTTTCCTATTGGATGCTTATTATAAATAAAAAAAAACATACGACAAAAATAGAGGTACAAAGAAAACCTGACACCACAATTTCAAAAAACTGACGACTATTATTATTTACTGTAAACAAGTTTTCACTTGAATATAATCAATCACTTCAGTAAATGCAGAAAATGATATCATTCTGAAAGTTTCACTGCAACATACATTATGTACGTATGTTAGTACTGAATCGAATAATCAGAACAGAATATTTTTTTAATACAAAAAGTTGTAAAACAATGAAAGTAGTGATTAAACTTGTTAGGTTAAGCATGGATTCATCATGAAGTCTCATAATAAACATTTAGCTTGTTCATTCTAGTGTGACTAAAACACTATCGTATAATTACAGTACGGTACCTCATGCCGGACTCTCTGATATACACGCAAGGTGTTATCAATAACAGTGAGGGAATGAGCAGGTCGAGCTCCAGAACTGGTCTGGCCAGTGAAGAGGAAGCTGATGTCGCCACGCTCCCAGCGCATATTATTGAAGTCCACCAGCGTTGTGTCTAGCCTCAGAGAGGCACCTTTCTTATGTATCCGACAAACATCAGATGGCAACATGCGGGACACCAGTGGAACTGAGGAGTAAGGAAATACCTAAGGAGGATATCACATTCATTGCAACAGCTACAGAAGAGTTTGAGAATTCAAAGATTCATTGACAAACCATTGTAAAATAGACTCATTTTTTTCACAATTACCAATATCATAAACCTGCTTGCATTCTGAGTGATTCAAGAAGTATAAATGCAACAAACAAGTAGTACTTAAATTCACCGAATCAAAAACATTGCAGAAACCAGATTCACCACCAGTTAAAAATTTGAAAAATGCTAGTACAATCTAAAAACTTTGTTTATTGGTTTGTTACTTTTCATTTAAATCTATTTCATGTGGTTTGGATTATTTTCATAATACCTAGTGTTCTCACACTAAAAATAGAATCATGAAAATTATGTGACTCAAACCAGCACACACTTCATAACCCCTCATAATGTAACACAATTCATATTTTCTACTGAGTAAGCAAGTTTTGAACAATGTTCTTAAAAAAAATTCAGTCAGCAAGCTTACCCCAGCTTTGGAAGTCCCATTTTAACTCCATGTAAAAGTCGTCCATTTTACTAAGTGCATTAATTAATTGTGGGCGACGATCATCCATTGCTTCTTTTGACTGTTGCTTGAGCTTCTGCAGCAGCAGAGTGACTGCAATTTTCAAACCACACTTCAGAGTCAAATTAATTACCTACTCAATTTAATGAATCTATGTATTCACAAAATAAACAATAATGCACAAGTTCATCAATTGGTTATAAAATTTAACAGGCCAAAAAAGCATGTTTTAATTTGATTAGAAATACACGTCCTTAATACAATGAAAATAACAAAGGCATTCTCACATTTACCACAAACAGATATGAGTTTGAGCATAGAAAATTCCTTGTAACAATGTAATAAGGATCATACTTGTGTCTCTATCACCATAGCTGATAGCTTCAGCCAGGGTACTCCATCCTTCACTATTTTTGCTCTTAACAGGAGCATTGTGAGAGACAAGGAGCTCAATCAATTCTGAAACAAATAATGCCATTTATTAAAATTCATTCAACATCCCACTAAAGGGATTTGGTATTTCTAAATTTAACCCAAAAAAAGTTAGCCAAATTAATTTTCATCAGATTCCAATCAAAACACAATCGTTAAAAGATGCAAGACTTTTGTGAGTATTCAACTGAAACTAGTGATATTATCAGGAATTTAAAAGTAAAGAAAATAGCCAAAAAGTTCACCATTTCTTATAAGCGAAATATTATTTATATACTTTAATAATCCTTATTAAACATAAATATTATCATTTTTATTTTACTTTGCATTGCCTCCAGGTCTTCATCCTAATAATTGCCCTGACACTCTAAAACTTTGAATTGTCATTACTGTGTCCATGTAAATTAATTAATGATAGAATAAAACAAAAGAAATCATCTGGCATAATTTAAAAAAAACAGGTGTTTTACAACAATGTACATTTTTAGCGCATTTTCTCATTTATGGAAAAAATGCACTATTGTGCTTGCCATGTCAGTCTGTCTGTCTGTCCATGACCTCAAGTTTTTGTCAATGAGAAAATGTGCTCTCTGTCACTCACAGGCAGTGAGTACCTATTGAGTTATGGTATATTTTTTATGTAAAGCATGAAATTATTAGTTCTATAAGCAATGGTATAAAAAAACAAACCTTTTTGTCCAAGCATTACTGCCAAGTGAAGAGCTGTGTTACCTGTAATGGAAAGTTCAAAATTTAGTTACACTAAAAAAAATTTCTAGCTTAGAAAGTAAATTAGATTAGGATTATCCAGGGTGCAGAAATTGGGTCAATATCTGAAGATCATTGGAAAGGCATCAATGGCAAAATTTATGCCTGCAGAAGATCTTGCCAACACACTTGGATTGAAACTATTGTATTTTAGATTTTACAATCTTTGGTGATGCTAACCCTGGAACAGGAGGCACACCAGTGGTTGCACTGCTTTTCTGATTGGTTGGATGAGGCTGCAAGGTACAATCAACAATTTGGTAATTTTGGCGGGAATGCAATTTTCTACTGCAATATGTGGGTTGTGGGCTGTTAAAAATACACTCATCAAAGTTGTTTTTATAAGAATTTAGATGAAAATTATATTTGTAACGCATCTTGAAGACTATTATTATTGTATTATATTGTAATTATATCATATTGTAACACATCTTGGGTACTGTCGGCTACATTTTTGGTCTACAAAGGCAAAATTGGCAATTAATTCAGCAAAGTCCGCACCCTGGTAAAGTATCAGCACAAAAACAAAAATGTAAAAATCTTGAATAATCTCATATTCATAGTCAATTCCAGGTATGGCATATATAGAGTATACAAAAAGCAAGTTAAAACTTGGTAAACATTGACAGTTAATTGTAGTGGAACAAGTTTTATCAAGTGAATAAAAAATAGGCAAAATGCACTTCAAGCATGTGTATTTTTGCTTGATTTTAGGTTGCTCAGGTGTGATCAATCACGTGATCTGACCGATCATGCTCGTGTCGACTTGTACCACAAAGTTCTCAGGGAATTCTAGGCATTTGAAAATAATTTGACTGATGGTACTTTATTTACAAAATTCTCTGAATAAATGCTACTAGTATCTCCTTGGTGACTGCCCAATTTATAATTTCTAGAATTAACCTTTGTTGTCCCATGCCTGTGCTGCTATACTCTATAGTACCATCTAAAATTATAAAGTTTCCCAATCCCAACCCATTCTAGAAAATTGGGCAAACGCTACCCATGAATGAGACAAAAAAGTTTATCTTTGATAAAATTCATCCTGTAATAATATGGTCCTTGCCTAATTTTTTGGACCTGAATTTTAAAAAATTACACATTATGGCTTAAAATTAATTAAAATCATATGAGAAACACTAGTGATTTATCATCTACTAACAATTTTGGAAAATTCCATCCAATATTACAAATTGATTCCTAAGCTACTTAGTGACCAGTGAGGAAAATACCTACACTCTGATATTCTGAATCATGACTTAATTTTTTTTAGCCTTGTTTTTATGGATTTGGAAGCCATGATTCCATTACTTTGAGCTGTGAATTCAATATCTTGGCCATCATCTTCAATGAAGCGCCATTTATGAGCCGCAAACTCATTTACAAAGTCCTGTGACCTTATGCCAATCCAGGGTTGGCTATTTTTTTGATTTTTTTAAAAAAATCAAAAAAATAAAAAATCAATGATTTTTTTGCTTTTTTTCATGATTTTTTGATCTATTTGATTTTTTTTTCAGCTTTTTGTCTTTTTGAGGTGTTATTTTTTATGTTGCAATTAGCCTACTAACAATAACAGTATATGGATCATAATGGATGGCTAAAAAGGGCACTTATTGCCTTCAATAATGGCCAACAGGCCAAGGTGATGTTTACCACTTAGGGATTTTTGGGTAAACAATTATTGATAAGTCTATTCATTAGCTTTGTAAAGTTTGTATGGAGCAAGGTAATGAGCTAAATATTGATCATTTAACTGGCTTCAATATACAAAAACCCTTCAGGAATGCAGATCTAAACATTGAAGAGTCACATAACAGATAGGTAGCCGATAGTACAGTGCACAGCACTATCAATAGATCTACTAGTTTTATGTCCTATAAATCTACCAGACTCTACCTTCTATACACACCGACTAGTAGTGACTGACTGCACTGTTCCCATTTAATTCAGACCAATAAACCAATACTAAACATAAACTGAACGATAACCAAACAAACCTCATACGACTTCCAACAAGACTTAAGTTATGAGAAAAGCTAACACTGTTTGAAATAAACATGTGCACAATTCAAATACGTATTTTATATCCATTCACTGCATTTATTTATTTTATATATAGTATTGTAATGGTAATTGTTTTGTATCTAGTTTTAAATTCACATATATAAAGATTGAATTTAAATATTTTAATTAGAATACGTCCTCATATTAGGGTGGAAAATCTTTATAATTGCCTAAAAGGTCAATACAATCTCAACCTCTCAATATACAGGGTGGAGCAGAACCGATTGAGCAGTTTTGAGGTAAAATAAAAGAGAATGGAAGTACATAAATAAGAAAGTTTATTTTCCTAGAGGTTAGCATAACATACCATTTAGAATACTTATGTTTTGAGAACAATATCTGGAAGATGGGGGCTGTTAGCTGCAACACACTGTTGGAGTCGTTCTCAGAGGAGGGAGTAACCATGACGGTGAATTCCGATTGCTATGCTGCAGGGTTGGCAATGATTAAATCAAAATGATTAAATCATGTGATTAAATCACTTGATTTTTTTATAAAAAAATCATGATTTTTTTTTATTTTTTTGATTTTTTTGATTTTTTCATATATTTAATATATTGAGTGGCAGTCTTTAATTTATATTGAGGTATTGTTATTCATGGTTTAGTATAAATGTACTATAAATGACAAATTGGTATATAAACTTGTTGCCTTTAGTGTGTATTAGGTTCCAATAAATTGAATGTTTTTGGTACAGAGGCATCAAGTGTATCGTTTCAAGTCGTATGAGGTTTGTTTGGTTATCGTTCAGTTTATGTTTAGTATCGGTTTATTGGTCTGAATTAAATGGGAACAGTGCAGTCAGTCACTCAGTCACTACTAGTCGGAGTGTATAGAGGGTAGAGTCTGGTAGATTTATAGGACATAAAACTAGTAGATCTATTGATAGTGCTGTGCACTGTGCTATCAGCTACAGTTACTACTAGTCGGTGTGTATAGAGGGTAGAGTCTGGTAGATTTTTAGGACATAAAACTAGTGGATCTATTGATGATGCTGTGCACTGTGCTATCAGCTACCTATCTGTTATGTGCTCTTCAATGTTTAGAAGATCTGCATTCCTGAAGTGTTTTTGTATATTGAAGCCAGTTAAATGGTCAATATTTAGCTTATTACCTTGCTCCATACAAACTTTACAAAACTAATGAATAGACATAGTACCAATAATTGTTTACCCAAAAATCCCTAAGTGGTAAACACCACCTTGGCCTGTTGGCCATTATTGAAGGCAATAAGTGCCCTTTTTACCCATCCATTATGATCCATATACTGTTATTGTTAATAGGCTAATTGCAACATAAAAAAATAACACTTCAAAAAGACAAAAAAGTTGAAAAAATCAAAAAAATCAAATAAATAAAAAAAATCATGAAAAAATCATTGATTTTTGATTTTTTTGATTTTTTAAAAAAAATCAAAAAAATCGCCAACCCTGCTATGCTGCAATGTTGCAAAATTTCTTGCAACCCAGGATGGAAAACATTGTTGAAAATGAAACATTGGGAGATGTGTGGTTCCAGCAGGATGGGGCTACAGCTCACACAGCCCGAATGTCACTCAATGTTTTGAGACGCATGTTTCCCGGATGTCTGGTGTCTCTGAGGGATGATTTAACAGTGGCCTGCAAGGTCACCTGATTTGAGCATTTGCGATTTCTTTCTTTGGGGACATCTAAAAGAAAGGGTGTTCAGAAGTCACCCTCACACCCTACCACAGCTAAGGAAATGGATTGTTGCAGCAGAGGTTATGGCCATACCTCGCCATATGTGTAAACGTGCTGTAGGAAACTTCCGAGAACAACTCCAACAGTGTGATGCTGCTAACAAACCCCATCTTCCTGATATTGTTTTCAAAACATAAGTATTTTAAATGGTATGTTATGCTAATCTTGAGGAAAATAAACTTTTTTCTTTATGTACCTCCATTACTCTTTTATTTTGCCTCAAAACAATTTGTCATTTTACATTTATACTAAAACATGAATAACAATACCTCAATATAAATTAAAGACTGCCACTCAATATTTTTAAATATATGAAAAAATCCAAAAAATCAAAAAATAAAAAAAAATCATGATTTTTTTATAAAAAAAATCCAAGTGATTTAATCACATGATTTAATCATTTTGATTTATTCATTGCCAACCCTGTGCCAATCTCTGATTTTAGCCTAGAAACAGCACAACAACATTTGTTTTTACTTCAGTGGTGCCAACAGAACACATGGTATTGCAGTCTGACTGCATGGTAAGTGGTAACTATGTGAACTTTAATGAAACTTTTTGGGTTGACTTGTTACATTGATATTATGCAGGATATTTTGGCAGGAGCATTGAAGTGCTAATAAAGTTGAAAATTTTATGAAATGACATATTTGCATAGAGCAAACCACAATTTTTTCAATCAAACAAAAATACCGTAAAATGGGGTAACTTTGACCACTTTTTTTCTAAATGATGCCATTTTTTTACTAGATAAGTTAAACTTAAATTGAAACATGCAAAATACAGGTCTATAATGTAACCGGGTTACTCATTGGGTTTTTATCGCAAAATAAATCAGCTCATTCATAATTTATTCATAATTGCTTTGCATTGATATTTCTGTTATTTTAGGGTAGGTAATAGTTATCTTGTACCGTTTTTAGGGTAAAAGAAACCGACTTCTAGAACCTTTAGTAAACAATCGGTCTTGTCATGTACGGCGTCGCTGGCTAAAGTAAGTTGTTGGACCGATTGTGCAGAATAGGATTGGCTAGTCGGATTTCTTGAATTATTAAATGTTTATTTATCAGTTACCTATATCCAATTCACTATTTTGTTCAATACAAGTTTGTTTATGCGTCAATGTCTAGTTGTTGTGTGTATAGTTCAGTTATTTTACTTAAATATTTATACTATTTATTTATTTCTCTTACAGTACCTATTTTCTGCCCATGCTCCTTTATTCCTGGCTTTTATTAAATTTGTAAGTCTGATCACCAATACACATCTATCTTTCCGTGTTATTTATTCATGGCCTCTGCGCTAATAGTTTACTAAAGTTAGTTGCCCGAGAGACAGAAGTAGGTCACGTAGGGTTGACCTCACCCGCAAATGCGCCGGCAACAGTAACATAGACCGGTTTGGAAATTAAGTTAAAATTACCATATATAAGACTCTGTAGAGTCTGAAACATAAAGAAAAAAACATTAATAGGTATACCTATCGAACATAAAATATGTTATATAGGTACCTATGGCAATTTTAACTTAATTTCCAAGCCGGTCAATGTTACCCCGTCACGGCTGCCATTAGGTGGTCAAAGTTACCCCATTGGGGGGCGGCGCCCCCCATTTGCAAACTATGACACTTTTCTAAAATTTGTCTTTTGCATATGCAACTAGAAGAGTTCTACTACAATGCATCAAAACCTGGAGTTATTTTATAAAAAAAAATAAAATAAATTGGAGGGGGTACTCTGACAGGCTTTAAATAATAGCTCTTTTTTTGTGGGTCACATTTTTAATTTTTTAACCTATTAGATATGCAAATTTTTTAAATCTTTCTATTGTGTTACGTAGCCTCAGTATTAGGCCTTTGATGGCCATTGACAAAATTTTTCTATGTCGAATAGTTTTTGAGTTTTGGGGGTTTTTGTTAAAAAATGAAAAGTGGTCAAAGTTACCCCGCCGGTTAAAGTAACCCCATTTTACGGTACATGACATTAGAGCCATGCGATTTCATACCTAGGTACTGAAATTGTATGATATTCAAGCTGCGTTAGAGTAAACGCAGTATATTCCGACACATTAAGGACGCATCGAGAAATGAAAAACTATAAAAAATAACCATATGCATTACTCGAGTTCTGTTTGCTTTACGTGACTCTCAAAACACTGCACTACGCGCCAGCAACAATGAAACGTCACAAAGTGTTGCCATACATGTATTTATTTAAAAGCCTTTAGAATGCAAACCTACCAAATTCCTATATTCCGACGCTGTGTGTGACTAAATTCGGCACGTTGTGAGATGAATTACGGCCGCGCTTAAAACTCTACTAATACGTAATTCCGACATCCTTGTGTTTGAATTCCGATCGCTGTGTGAGCTGTATTGGAATACGACAGGGCTTTGAATTAGAAGTTTAGAACACTATTGAATATTGAACACTACTTAATTAGGTTTTTAATTAATAGCTATTAGGCCTTTAATTAAGAAAATTTTCATTTTTGCACACAGCTTGGAACAAGCTGTTTGTGTCTAATTCCGTTTCTTAAATTAATCATCTATTAATTTATTTAACCACTTGAAATCAGCAAATACAAGTATACTTAAAGGATTCCTAATATATTCATTATTCACAGACATGGTGCAATTCTATAGGTTATTCAAAAGAACCTGGTCTTATGTCATTTTGAACCGATCAACGCTTCTTTACGGACCGATCGTAAAACACACCTTCACCGGCAAAAGCTTTCACACTTCTGAAGAAAGGTGAGCTGACAGCTACACTGGCCGTGGGGCCTGGGTAGGCCTAATTTGAATTTGAATGCATGCATCGATTTGAAATCCTATAGACATAGTATACAAGTCATAGAGCCTAAATTTTTAATATCTACAAAAAAATGTACGTTTCTGCATGGATTATAATGCTGTTAACATTAACAAACTTTGAATTATCTCTGATGCAAGAAATACTTGCTTAAATACTGTCTCTTATACACATCTAGATGTGTATAAGAGACAGCTCTTGGTCTTTTGTATTTCAGTTAAAATATTTTACAACATCTAAAACGAAAAACGTGGGGCGCATATGTATTTAATTGTTTGGTGATTACTTGATATGATGAATATGATGGTTCATTGAACATTTGATAAGTGTATTGCCTGTCTCTTATACACATCTAGATGTGTATAAGAGACAGGGTATGACATCACTATTTCAACCATCAACGAATGCATGGAACTAAGACAAAGCTTAATATAAAGGAAAAACTAGAGAGGTGTCGGAATTACCCACGATGTTGGAATATACCGCGTTTACACTAAGTGACCAGGATTGGAATTTTCCTACATGTTTCTGAAATCTTATGGCTCTACCATGACAAACTTTTAATACATTAGAAATCTTGCAGCCTGATCATGCAGTTTTCTTAACAATTGTATAGGTAGGAACTAGGATGCAGCTAATTCATCTGGCAAAAATCTTGCAGTTCTGGAAATGGCGGATTGGCAGGCATAGTGGCAAAGCAGAGAGTTTTTTAGACTCTCTCTCAAGTTCATTTTTGAGACCTATAAGTAGACCAGTAAAGTATCCTGGATACCAGCATTATAATACTTAAGAAATTTGTTTAAATCTTGAGTAAATGAGGAAATTAAAAATGAACTGATTCTAAAAAAGCTCTGGTTTGGCACTATGTTGGCAGTAATGGCAGGAAACCTCTAGGCTGGCCTAAAAAGTAATGTTTTCCTGTTTTCCACATATGATGCTTCTTCCCAACTAGCTAGGTAACTAAGCTAAGCTAGTAAGCACTGATTTGCTTCACTACAACTTAAAGCTGCTGTTCTCTCAAATCTTTTTGGCCCATGTTCAGATGTTCACACATGAATAGAAACTCATTTGTCCATCTCATTCAATCACTTATCCTCTAAGCTTCCACACTGTGGTCAATGGTCCACCGTCCACACACATTCACTGACTCACACAGCAAATGACAGACTCTGAGTTAGGTACTGTCTCTCGCCACAGTTGTCCTGTGGGCCTGTCCTCGAATTTGGAAAGACCTTACTTACACTTACCATGCTTATCTTTCTTGGTTATATCACAAGTTTCTAATAACTTATTCACTTTCTCAATGTCACCATTAAAAACACTCTCATGGAGAGGATAATCTTCGTCCTCATCTGCCATTTTTTCTTTTCCTAACTTGAACTTGTCAGGACAAGTTTCATTTTAAAGTAAATAAAACGGTGCTAAGGTGCTGTGCATCATTGGGCGTTTGGTGCAATCACGGTGCGTAATTCAGCGTTGAAAGCAATCAACTGACACGAAAGCCAGCACTGGATTACTGATATTCGTGACGAAAATGCAACAACCTACTGATGATAACCAACCTAATTAAAAGTCGAAAATGTCCACATCTGGTGACTTTTTACTCATTTTTCTATCCGAGTAATTGTGATTATATTCAATCCATTTTAATTTCAATTGGAATAGCTATCATAGTAGGTCTCGTTTAAAATCTGAACGGTTTCTCAGTAATAAAAAAATCAAAATTTTGATAAAAAATTCGTCTCTGGGAGAAAATACTATTAAATGAGTAAAGAAATGTCTGTAAAACTGGAGATGCCCATATTATTCAAATTTTACTACTTTCTTGGCAGATCTACAAATAAATGGGTTTCAATATAGCTCTAAATGAAAATTGTCGATACCATTTGTAGAGAGAGCTTGTCGAAGGATTTGACATCTATTTGTGTGTGCCTTATCCACAACATAATTGTGACTGTCAGCGGCGGGACCAAAAAAAAATTAAACACCTACTTGTGTCACATGTGGACGCATAATTTATAAGCTTCCAATTTACACCTTGCGCCACATGTAGAAGCATCCTTTAAAAGCTTCCGACTTATACCTTACGTCACATGTTGACGCATCCTTTAAAACTTCTTTTTTACACCTCCTTGCGTCACATGTAGACGCATCATTTAAAAGCTTCCAATTTGCACCTTGCGTCACATTTAGACGCATCCTTTAAAACTTCTTTTTTACACCTCCTTGCGTCACACGGAGACGCATCCCTTAAAAGCTTCCAACTTACACCTTATTGCGTCAAGTAATTCTAAATGAAAATAAGTTTTTCTGCCTACTTATCTGGTTGATACTTTCAAAACATCGCATTTGCATCTCGGAGAAATTATTATCCTGAGCAATAAATAAAATACGTAAAAAAACTTTTTTAAAAACCACGTTTTTCTTGTGGACTAAAAAGTAGAAAATAAATTATGGCTCGCCTCAAAAAAACGTGTTTCGGGCAGATTTATAATTAAAGCGAAAAGCACACAACACACGAATTTTGGAAATTTGATGGTGAACGTACAGCCCGACCCACGTTTTTTTGGGGGGAGCCATAATTTATTTTCTACTTTTTAGTCCACAAGAAAAACGTGGTTTTTAAAAAAGTTTTTTTACGTATTTTATTTTCTACTTTTTAGTCCACAAGAAAAACGATTAATATTTGATTAAATATGACTTGACGTACGTATCGATGATACGCAGCGTCAGCGCCTGCTCGTCTATAACGTCAGCGCCCGCACGTCATACTATATATAAACTATTTATATATACTTTACTCAATTAAGCTAATTTAGGTCTCTAATTGTTAGTTTTTATGATTGTATCTGAAATTGTTAGGCGAAAATAGCCTGCATGCCGAATTTCAGATCTCTAGAACAATCAGAAGTGGGCTAATTTTCGTTGTCAATGTTAACAACAAACAAACAAACAAACGCGAAGCTAAGCTAAGAAAAACGTGTTAAAAAAATTCCCTCTTCCTTCTTTAAACAAGGACATTTGAATTTGAAATGACTGCGATTCGGTTGTTTTTAATTTGCAGATATTTTTTAGGCTTTCTTTGATGTCAGTAATGAATATCAGTGAATGTGGAAGACTCGGTCAATCGATCTTTCTATGTTTCGATGTCCCAGAGACTACCGTCGTGCTACGTAGAGTATATCAGAGCCACTATTCACATAAAGAAAACTGTCCATTGTTCAATTAGTACAGTCTATATTACATTCTTATCATATAATGACAAATTGAATGCAAGAAAACTTAGTTCAATTTTACAGAAAAATCTTGAGCAATCCGGATTTCACACTCGCATGTAAAACAAGCACGAAATTCGTTGTAAATTAATTATTGATGGCTTATTATTTTACAATTTTAGGCAATGATTATTTGAAAATTATTGGTGTTATTAAATAATAAACCTAATTAGAAGAATGCATTTCCCAAAACAACGGCGCGTGAGCGAGATGTGTAGAATGGCGACAAGCACTAACGTTAATGACTAATGTCACCTATCACCTCCGCCTCGAAGATTGCGGCATGGATGACATTCTTCTCAAGACAAACACGCCATTGCTGATGCCATGACAGCTTTAGATCGCTAAGTTGTGATGCCTCAACATGGATTTGCCTAACGGTTTGTTAAGGAATGAGAACAGCGCCGGTTTGGGACTCTGGAGTACATAATGTACTGATAACGAAATGGGAGCTCGGAACTTCCTTTTTCTTCTGCTAATAAATATAATTGATCATTTAACGTTCCGTGGAATACTTTTATCATTTTATTTTATAAGTGACTCATTTCTGTGCGGCTTAACACGTGTCAAGATAACATGATGTTTATGTCATGTTGACGTTGATTGAAGATGTTAGATGAGCTGGCCGCTCATATCTACATGCTATACAGATGAAATACTATTTGAGAATTGCCGCTGTGTGGAGTTAACTGCCACGTAAAATACAGAATAATTTTTAGTGCTAACATTATATGTTGTTATATATTTCTTGCAAGAATGATAGTTTTATTTCTAATTACATATTTTTGGACATTTTTTGTAGCTAGCCAGTTACGCGTGTCAGCGGGAAACGTGGTAATTTGCCAGAACAATCGAGAGGAGCATGGTTGAAATTACCACTTCATTGATTCTTCAGACATTATACAGAAGCTTTCCAAATAATATAAAAAAATTATATTGAGCTTTTATTAATACTGTATACATTAACTACATTGAACACTAAATACCACTAACTCCTGAAGTAAGACACAAGCAAAGCAACTCAAATTCAATATCTCAAGGCTAGTATAACTGTATAATACAAGTATACTTCATATATCATATATTGCAATATTTCATGTCAGTAAAAATGAATAGTTATATGGTATTTTGATGTTTACCGTGAATAATTTTTTTTTAATTTCATCTTAGTTTTCGATTGCATGCAAGCGCCGTCTATTTATATCAACTTGATTAATGAGTGAGTTATGTCTAACAGTTTTTTAATATACAGAAGTGGTAATTAAGATGTCTAAACGAAATATATATAATTTTTCTTATTTTATTCGTTTTAAAATATGGAAACAACTATTTTACGTTTTTTTTTACTTAAATTTGTAAAAATCAATTGCAAATTAAATATCAAATATTTGATGCAATCATTGCCTCCAATCCTTCACAATTCTCCAACTTTGAAAGAAATTTCAGGCTCATGTAATATCCTGACATTCTAAGTATTTTGGTGAATAATATATAATGATTAAAAATTTAAAAGCAAAGAATAGTCCACAAAAATTCTTTGCTTTTAAATTTTTAGTTGTCTTGCGAATTAAGCAAATAAGTGACATCAATATATAATGATATTATATAAGGTGAATAAACTATAGTTTTTCCATTATATGGGTTCACTTGTACAGCACACTGTGACTTCAAGAGTTCACCTGACGTAATGGCTGAGTGTCCCCTAACATATGATCGCATATACTGTATACTATGTATAACTTAGATCGACAATGGTTTTGGTATTCGATGGTGTGTTTCTACTATTAATGACGCCTATTGTTGGTCTCTAGACAAGACCAAATATTATTTCTATTCACATTAGTGATGCGATGTATATACAGTAGAATAATCCTTATCTACCATAGGAGTCAATAATTGCCATTTTGCAACTGATATGAAAGTAACATGTTAGAGTTGCATTGCAGTTTTCAACGATGCTTGAGGAACGTTCTTACATGAATGTTTTTCATTGCTAAGTGTTAGGATATAAAAATATTTTCATAATGGAATGAAGTAACAACGTGTGTAGCAATGGCGTGTGAAAATAATGTGTCGACGATCGAACAATCTATTGACCAGGACCACCAGACGAGGCTAGCATGCCGGCCATAGCTGCAAATTTGCTCTCAAATACTTAGCTAAATTCTCATACCTCGTTAAGATAAGCATAGCAATCAGAAACTCTTCCTTCAGTCCTCTAACTAAATGAATTCAGTCTTGTTGTTACCTGATTCTAGCTATCAGTGATTCGCTAAGTTGCATTGAAGTCTGAATGACGGCATCTAGAGCAAACCAAAGTTGTCAAGAGAATAAACATCAGTGACAGACAAAAACAAAAATGAAAATGATTTTGAAAGAGAATACATTCTTTGTTGAGATTCGACAGGGCTCCTGTTAGGTATTCAGCAAGCTGTCTCGCGAGTGCGTGGTGCAGGTGGTTTGTTTTTGAAATACAGAGTCATTTCCTATTATAGTGATTGTAAAGCTTCTGTGATAAACTACGCGGCAAATGCAACCATCATATTGCAAACACACAGGAAATCAACCGAAATGATTTCAACTTACTCATGTTTGAGAGGCGGCGAAGATAGAACATCACATCCATTATCTGCTTTGCATATCTCGGTTTGCTCAACCGGTTAAGTGTCTGAGTAGATTAGTCGCAAATGTATGGCAATTTAATTGAAAAAGAATGCACTACTCCTTGCAAAGAGGAGTCGGAGACTAAGCAAAAAGTGGGGAATTGGAAGACTACTCGAAACTGTTGATATGTATGATAAATGTCCAAGGATCGAGCAGTATTAAAGAAATTATCATAATATTTAGTTTAAATTTACCAGTAGTAAAACTCAGTACTATTGAAGCACACAAAATATTCAAGAATTAGAACATACCTGCAAAGACCGTAGAGCGAAAAGTCGGCAAATGTTATGAAATAAACTAAAACTCTATGAATAATTAATTATTTTGCCGGAAATTTTAGAACATCAAGACAATAATCATTCCTACATATTTATAATTTCACATATCTTATGCATGTTAACCAACGAACAGTGAGAAAATGAACAAAAATGTTTCCCAATGCGCTCTTTTGAACTCATTTGTCATCAAACGATCAAATGTATTATGTATATAGTAGCTTGGTCGCCACCGCGGCCCGCGGGGAGCGGGCGCCGGGCAGTAACAAACACGGCCGAATTGTGTTCAGAGGTGGGTGAGGTTGCGTGTGCATGCCGTAAAGTTTCCAATTGAAAAATTGAGATACTGCTTGAGAAGCATAACATAGATCGATTAATAATATAAAATCGATGAAGTGACATTTCATTTCCCAATAAAAATTGTATTATTCCCAACCTAATTCTGATGTCTAATCATCATACTAGGCTAGTCTAGTGTAATTCAGAGAATCGTTTATCTAATTTGTCCATGTTGATGTAATATCAATATGTATACCCAGATTTCAGTGTGCCAAATCCCCACGTAAGATGAGTGCTATCAATTTCCAAGTGTGTCATTTTATCTGGAAAAAAGTAGTGTTGAAAAATATATTAGGCCCTACAATCGCACGGGCGTCTTAACGAAATATCAATCATAGCAGGAATGCTTGCTTAACTCATAGTAGCCGACTAAACCTTACGTTTACAGCCAGCGTGGCAGCGTGCGGGAGCATCATAGTCTCATGAAAATTTCTGATTCGTTGCCCACTGTATTCGTCGCCAAGGAATTGTCTACGCCCAATTAATTATCATAGTCAAAGCAATGGATTCAAAACATTGTTGGTGTATGGTGTGACAATTGTGGTGATCAGTGTTCAAAGTGAAATTTTTATTTTGATGATCAGTTATTCAAATGAGTTCAATCCCGCCGGAGAGGGGCAGTGCATGTCACATAAAACTGTGCCACTGCCATCTTGAAACACGTGTCAGTCAAAATCTGTCTAGGTTTTTGAAATTTTTCCTATGATATATCTATGAAAATAGAAACTACATTCGTATTATATAGTTTAATTGCTATTGAAAACGAAACGAATGCGTTCAGAATTTGCGTACCTACACGGTACACTGCTTCGGGACGCTGTTCACCTAATCATGGACATGAAGTCGCGAGACGGACTTTCATGCCAGCACCGAAATGGAGCGTCTAACTTTCCTGCGCCAGAGAAGCCAATTGAGACTTGGGTATTATTGCAGATTAACTACATCCCAAAAAAAGGGTGTTTTTTTTTAATTATATGTTTTTTGGGGTGTAGATTACGAATCTGAAATCCATTTTTGGCGGTCGGCATCGGAAAACCGATTTTTTGCAATAATACCGATCACACGTAGCGCACGACATCTTGAATGAAACTTACCCGTTGCACTGCAACGGGTAAAGAAGACGAAAATGTTACACGTTGCACTGCAACGGGTAACATTTTCGTCTTCTTTGTCCATAAATCTGGAGATACATTGCCACATCGAGAGATCACAACCTAACGCCAACTCGCAGGTTGGGTTGGTTCGCCCAGGTTCCTTTTAGATCAAAATAGAAAAAAATCGGTTTTCCGATGCCGACCGCCAAAAATGGATTTCAGATTCGTAATCTACACCCCAAAAAACATATAATTAAAAAAAAAACACCCTGTTTTTTGGATGTAGTTAATCTGCAATAATACCGAGACTTGAGTCGAGTTCGCCGTTGGTGAGTACAGATGCCCGTATGTTTTCCCTTTGTATAGTTTTTAATAGGTTTTCGTTTACATTAATGACATATAAAGGTACTCTTGCACTGTGTACGCACTATGCATTTGTATGCTGCGTCATTTCCCTCGTCTAGCGTTGTTCAACATATTCTGCTCACTTTGTAAACCTTTTACCACTGTCAGAAAAGTAGGATATGGGATATATTTTAGCAGAATTTTCGTTCGGGCTCCATGCATGGCCATAATTTGATAAGTTTTCACCGATTTCGGTCTTCATAATGAAGGGTTTCCGCTTCTGGGCTTAATGGCATTTAGTCTACATAATTTTAACCACATTATGTGAATCTTGATTATTCGTGAAAATCATTTGTCGTGCGCGAGGTGACCATTACTTTGTGGCAATGGTCATTTCGCCGGAATTTCTAACACGATCCACTCGTATGCTCGCCAGAACTAAGCGCGTCGCAACAGGGTAGGTCCGGTGAAGAAGAAATATGATGGGTGAAAAGAAGTGTGGGAGCAATAATAATGCCTATATATTAAGTAAGTCAATGTTTTTCCTAGCTCATGCTCTACTTGATCTTAGACAGTTTCCAATGTAAATATTGTGCAGTGATAGGAGCCTGCTGAAGTGTCTACTCAGAAGATTTGCGTTGTTTATTTTTGCGCTGAAGGTTGGAAACAGGTTTCACTAGACCACTTATCCCGATTGAATACGGTGAAAGTAATGTAACTTCGGAATTAGGTAAAATACCCCTTGGAACTGATTGATTATTGAATTGAATTGTAAATTGATTTGAATACCCCTTGGGTATTCTAATCAACCAGGTATAAAATTAGGTAGGTACGGTTTCCATGATTACGTATTTATTACGACATAATCCTTCCTATTCCTGTATAGTGTATAGGGTTTCTGCGTGGAGGGCTGAATGCACTAGGCACTGTCAGGAATTGCTACATATTTTGATCATACATATTAGATAGTTATTTTACGTACATGTATGCATTTTTATGTTCATAATTTATATACATTAAATTTAGTTCTATTAACCAGCATTATTATTTCAATTGCATTAATATCAATCTTGATATTGTCCATATTATTTGAATAACCCAAATATACAACTTCCTCGCTGGTGGTCTAGATCTAATTTTTAAATCCAATTCTGGTCATCGACATTTCGGCTTAAATTTGTGGAAAATTTGAAAATATCGATCTTGAAATATTTTTAAGCAAGTTTTTGTGTGAAATTGAATTTTTATATCTTCAGATTCAAAATACCGTATGTCTTTAATAATGCCAACAGATATGTTCTTTGATTCAAATACCTATTCAAATAAGTGAATTATTCAATAAATCGAGTCTTGTTAGATTTGCATTTTTAATCCTGTTGTCGGGGTGTGGGCAACCCACAAGACAAAAACACTGGAATGGCCAGGCTTGCCAATTATTAATGTCTCCGTGGCGCAGTGGATAGCGCGCTGGACTTCTAATCCAGAGGCCGCGGGTTCGAATCCCGTCGGAGATGGAATATTTTAGACATAATGTTCGAAATATAAAATTATTAATGAACGAAAGGTGTGAAGACAGTTTCCTTCAAGAGTCGGTACATTATTGAAGTATGATCTGGTGTGATACACTGGTATTTTTATTTAGCTGTTCGCTTTATTAGCATGCACTGAAATAGTTCAAGTTCAACCTTCACAACTCCTCACTGTAGTTATTTTAAGTTTAATCTACGTAAAATGGACTTGACGCTCAAGCAATGACCGAGAATAAGAGTATCCTTGCATGGCCCCCACGCCAGGAGGCTGCAGGGATGGCGGGGCTACGGCATATCTCGATGCCTGATCGTGCATAAGGACTCCTTACTTAAGACGACATCAGCATAACTTCTCCTTGTCTAAACATTACACGCATTCAATGTAATTAGCGAGAGACAACCGTTAAAGTCGCGAGTTTCAAGACGACTTGGCAATGAATGTCCACAGCGGACCTGCTTTACATTTTCCAATGCCACATTAATGCAAGGAGACTTGCCTCCATGACACGATTCAAATAGGTTTCGTGAACATCTCATCGCGTAGTGAAGCTGCTAAGGAGTCTTCTTTTATTGCTGCTACTTGTCTTGTACTGGTTTTAAACATGTCTTACGCTTGGCCGAAGCTGCGTCGCGCGCTATCGGCAATTCGGCATCAGTTTGATCTTCAGCACTCGGCTTCGATAACATGTTACTGTCTTATGCGATGGTATTCTTGCAGCCATTTGCAAACTATCAGACCAGGCATCGAGCTAATAAATTGTGACTCTTTTCTTGTTGCAATTAGTCGCCGTCTTTGCCAGCCGCTTGGGTACGCCTTGATAGCCTCGCTCGTTGGAGAGTCAATTTAGTCGAGACCTGCATGCATTCGCTACACTTGCTAACGTCGCTTCCAATCCTCCTTTTCTATTAATTGGCTTAATTATGATACGAATTTGTTTACTGATCCGGCACCAATTCTAAATCCTTGTTAATATTTCCTACTGGTTTAATTTCTCGCTCACAGGAATCGGATCGGATGTTCTCAGATCCATGCTGATTGCTGAATTTCAATTCTTATCCATTAATAATAGAATTACAATATTCTAGCAGCTATACGCGTCTATAACATGAAGTCTATTAACCTCTGTAGGTAATTAGTAATTTTTCTCAAAATCAAGGGAAGGTGAGAGTTTTAATTTGTCATGTGCATGAATGAGGGCAGCATGTGTGAAAAGTTGATTATTCAAACGATTTTTTACAACTTTCTACTGTAATAACTCCACTTGATACCCGCCACGAAATTTAACGAGAACGAGGCTTATTGGCGCTACCTGCATGCAAAGAGGATAATCCAGTCGTGTGTACAGAGGCCTGGTGCAGAGTTTTATTGTCTTGAAAGCTTTCCATGAGTGGCCGTTTGGCAAGACCATGAGTGACTATTTGGTATGACCATGAGTGACCATTAGGCCTCTAATGCTCACGAGAGACGACGAAGCATACCAGGCATCGGATTGCCGCCTGCCGTGAGGTCGGTCGCGAACTGTTCTGTGTCGTCACGCAGCAGTGATGCGCTAAATTCTCTTGCAACTTTGACTGGTATGTTAACACAAATTCTGTTGGAACATTGACTGGCATGTTAAAACAAATTCTGTTGAAACTCTGACTTATGTCTTTACACACATTTTGTTGGAAGTTTGACTGGTATGTCAACACAAATTCTGTTGAAACTTTGACTGGTATGTTAACACAAATTCTGTTGAAACTTTGACTGGTATGTTACACACATTTTGTTGGAAGTTTGACTGGTATGTCAACACAAATTCTGTTGAAACTTTGACTGGTATGTTAACACAAATTCTGTTGAAACTTTGACTGGTATTTAACACAAATTCTGTTGAAACTTTGACTGGTATGTTAACACAAATTCTGTTGAAACTTTGACTGGTATGTTAGCACAAGTTCTGTTAAAACTTGGTATGGTATATTAACACAAATTCTGTTGAAAA